ACACTCCAAACTAATTTCCCTGCAGGGACAAATCAAGCTATCCACAGCTGCAGTTCTCTAGGGGATGTTTCTGTCAGCTTTAAACTCCTAGAAGCTGAAAACTTTTTCTGGTTTCTTTTAGCAAAACAGCTCTATTTCTAGGGATGGGAATCGAAAACCGGTTCCTGTTAAGAACCGGTTCCGTATTTTCCGATTCCATGGCATCGATTGGCAGCTCACTGAACGATTCTTTTTTCGATTCCCGCAGCACCAGAGCCTAGAGCGCCGGCTCTGGGGAGCACGACTTACGTCACGTTTTTTACGTAAGTTACGCAAGTTACGCAAGTTGGAAGAACTATTCGAGGAGGAAGACAACGAGCTGCGGTCACTTTGTGAATCAAAGCCCCGTCTTTCCTTAGCCCAGAGGGTAGATCAGGAAATCCAGCTCTATAAAAGCTTGCCCTCCATCCCCTGCAGGGATAGCGCCACACTGTGGTGGTGGAACAAGCAAGATACGCTGCCCTTGCTATCTGACTGGCTGAAAACTACCTCTGTGTGCAGGCTTCCTCCACCCCATCTGAGAGGGTGTTCTCCACGGCTGGAGACACCATAAGCCCTGAAAGATCCTGTATCCTTCCAGAAAAAGCAGATATGCTCATCTTTCTGCAAAAGAACTGTTAATTTTTCCTACTACTGTTTTATAATTAGTATTTTTTGTTATTTAAAATAGGTTATTATCCCATCATTTGTTATTAGACATTGTTGGTTATTAAGTTTGTTCTTGTATATTTATTTTTCATTTAAACACAGATGTTACTCCAGTTTCACATTTCCTGTGGACATCTTGATCTTGTTGAGTTTGTAAGATTGTGCAATAGTTAAGTAAACAAAGTTGATTCTGATAATCAAACTGTTTGTTCTCCTTTTTCCCCCAAATTGGAATCGAAAAAAGAATCGATAAAGAATCGAATCATTTCATAGAATCGAAAAGGGAATCGGAATCGTGAAAATCTTTTCAATTCCCAACCCTATCTATTTCCATCAGTTTTGTTTGGCAGCCTTAGAGAAAAAAGGCTATTCTAACATCTAGATACGATGTGGTCCATTGTAGCTCTGGCTGGATGTTTTGTGTTGATTGGAGCCGCTAATGTTCTCTTTTTCTCAAATATTGCACTGCATTAAGATCCATCCCTCTTCTCATCAACTCTGACCAGTTTCCCCAATCCAAATGAAGACATTCAGGATGTTTTCTGCTTTATCTGCCCTCAGGATATTATTTCAAGTTCAAACTAGGTCTCCTTTGACCAGAGCGCCCTCTTTGCAATTTTTCATAACCTATATAGGGGAAACGGGGAACAAGTCAGACTGGATTTCATTTGGCTTTCTTTAATGGGGACTTTCTTCTTGCCTACTATTGGTTGTCCTGTCAACAGATTAATCCATCGGAGCTGTGGGATTATTCTGGGATAATACTGTTCAGTTCAATAACAATGTGTTGGTTGATGAGTATATGTGCTATGTCCTATGCATGTATACAAAAAGGAAGAAATGGTCGGGTTGGTGCAAAACTTCATGATAATGATCAGAGTGCTTATCAGATTAGCCTGTGGGGGGGAAATGTCTGGAAGCTGGATTGGGATGGTTTTGTAAATTTGCTTGTGCCGACCTGGAGGTAAAAGTCTGAATAGCTTGGATTTTTTCTAAACCCTATAGCCGTACTTGGTCAAGATGGAGGGAAGGTTGGTTGGATTATTCTCTCTGTTAACTAAGTGTTTGTACTTTGGACGGGTCCTGTTGTGTGAATGAGACAAACCACACCGTGATGGATGAACACAGTGGTGCAGAAGATGAATAGCCCCTCCTGTGGAAACCCTGCAGGAAGTTTCTAAGTGCATTGACCATTTTAGGTCCCCAGAAAGGGTGGTTCCTATAAGAACCAGGATTAATCCAAAGCACATTCTTATAACCTATACATTTACACATTAACTTTTTCCTTGACCTTTATGCTCTGATCCTTGGCTTTCATGTTTTACTAATGTTCTATAACCAGCGTCTGGATTTATACTGGGATTAATGTACACACAGGTGAACCATTTACAAATTGGATGCCATTGAAAGGCAGTTGATAGATTTTATTTTGAGAAAACCAGACTTAATAGGGACTGAATAGAAATGCACTGTGCAATGTAGATAGCTTTTTTTTTTTTGCTTATCATTGTCCTTAAGCTCTAAAATGTGTTTATATTCATCAATCCCAGTGAAATTCATTCATTTTGAGATTTTTAACATGGAAAAGGATCATGAATGAGTTTAAACGCATGTCTATATAAAGGTTAGAATTTGGTAAAAAGAAAAAAAATTATGGCTTCACTGATTGTCACCCTGCTTTTCTTGTGTGAAATTTTCTCATCAGAGCAGAGGACCCGATCTTCAATCTAGCTACACCTCTAGGCCCAGAGGAGATCCAAAGCCATACGCGTGAAGTCTTGGTGGCCCCTGATGAGCAGGCAGGCCCCACAGCCAAGAATGAACAACCTTTGGAGGAAACCACTTCTTTGCAAGGCGGCTGGTTCGGTCGAGGCTACAGCAAAGGCAGGAGAGCAAAAAAAAAAAAGCTTCATAACTGAGGGATATATGGAGAAGCTGAAGCAGTCAGGTGCTACCAGTGATTATTATTATTCCTGTCTTATTGATGAGGAAAGACATGCAGCTGTTGCTGCTGGTATTGATAAACACACATGAGCATCATGCATATGAGTGAGGGCATTAACAGAAGGCTCTTTGCACTGTTATATTATTGAGCATTTATTCATTAGAAAAACTCCTGTTGTGCAGTAGATTTATTTTTATACTACCTTGTTTATGGCAGCTACCAGATCTGGTTAAATCATTGCTACTCTCTAAGTTACTTCAGCTGCTGTAAGATTAAAAGGCAGATGAATTATTTAATAAAACAGAGTTTAAACAGTTTGTAAATGGTGAAATCTCCTAAAATTACTGAAAAGAGGCAAGAGAAAAAGCTTTTTTTTACATCAATACACAGAACCTTAATTTAGTCTGAGTAGATAATTTTGGAAAAGATTTACTTTTTGCTATCAGTATCCTTCAAATGCATGCATTACAACATGTTTGCTTTTCCTTCATGCTTTTGATTTAATAATGCTATCTGCTGATTGAGATTGGCTAGATGAAGGCTATTCTCCTTCTAGAACTGCCATACAAAGTATGCATTACCTTAGTATTCATATATAAAAACTATGATTATGTGCAAAAGTCAGATTTTTTTTTTTTTCCAATGGAACGTTCCAGAAAAAGCAAATCAGCATAAAATGTGAGTTTTGTGCGGTTGATTTTCTACATTTTAAATATATTTGTTTATTTTTTTAAAGTTGTATAAGAAGCTGTGCTATAGTTTATTTTTTACGAAACTGGTGTTTATTTGTGGTGTTTTAGTTTACTTCCATGGCAGTGATTCAAACCTACCATCACTTTCACTGGTTAGGTTCGGAAGCCTTTTAATTTACTATGGTTGATTTACTTTTTTCTTTTTTGGTTTACTGAGGTTTAGGAAAAGATCTGAGTTTGACATTAAACAACTAAATTAAATATTTTTTCTCAGGAAGATGTGATGTAAAAACTTTTCATTGTATTTTGTAAAGCATTTGTTTATCACACAATAAATCATTAGACATGTTTACTGTATTTCCTCCTGCTTTAATAACACCAGAGGTGCTACTGTATCTGAAATGTTTTATTTATTTTGATATTTTGATGCTCAAATGTTTTTTTTTTTCCTGTTGTTCGAAAGTAAAAAATCTTCACACAGGAATGTTTGTAACATTAGGATATGTACCAGCCTGAACTGTATGTATTAAAATGTAATGTCCTAATGGTTCATTTCTGCTGTGTAGTGTTTAACTACATTTGTTTTTGTTCTTTTCCCTCTCACTGGGGAGGATATTTAAATGCTTTACAAAAATCACAATATTAAAGGCTCTTGATGCTTATTTGAGTTTATTGTAATTTTTTTTTTTTTCTAAATTTTATCTTGGCCTATTCTAGATGGACATTATTGGCTTGTTGGTATCAATAGATGATTGTAGAAATTTGTGACATACAGATCAAAGTGCAAATTATATGTGCTACAATTTCCTATTACAATTTGTCCTTGAAGCATAATTCTACATAAACGTTATTTTAGTTTCCACTATACTACTTAGTGACTGATTGCTATAAGACTGATTACTATAATTAAAAAATAAAAATGGCATGTGTTGTAATTCCAGACCAAATTTACCAGTAGGCCAGGGTGTGGCCAGTGTTTTTTAATGGTGCCACAGAAAGAAAAAAAAAAACATTCAGGGATAATACTCATTGTTAGATACTGGTAAATGAAAGTTGATTTTACCACTGATAACTGAAGCTAAAAGTGCAACAACTTAATTATTAGTTCTCCATAAAATAATATTGATCCATTAGTGATTTCTGTTCCAGCTCATATAATTCATTTGCTTATTTTTGTCACTTGAATGTGTTTTCAGTTTTAGGGATTCAGAACAAGAGAAGCTGAACGTAAACCACTCTTCAGGGGGAAATGCGGAAAATTCATAGACAAAATGCAAGAAAACATAGTGACTGCAAACCCATCCAGGAGGAGCCTGTCCTGCAAGATGATGGGTGACTAGATGCAATGTATTGTCTCTATGAAGTGTCTTGAGATCCTGATTGTTGTGAAATGGTAAATAAACTGAGCTGAATTTATCCACCATACATTTATTTTGTATTGTCTTTGGTACAGGGGTATATATATGGTTAAAAAAAGAGGTTAAAGTTAAAATGTTTTAGGATCTTTTAGATCATTTTATTTACATCACCTATGTGCAAATTCGTTAGTTTATCACTAGCACGAAGTCAAACGCATATGGCATTAATGCTGTTACTGTCTCTTTAAATCGCTTCTGGGTGGATTGCGCAATCAGGGCGTCACCTTGAGAACATCCGATCAGTGTGACGAAGGCGTTGCTCGCTGCTGAGTGACATTCAGTCCGATCACCAGGAGCCGATTGCGACCTGTTGAAGACTGTTTTTAATTCCTTCAGCTCAGATTCTAAAGAGAAAAATAAAACTTTAGATTATTTTTCTTTTCTGTCAAAGCAGTTCTTGAAACATTGAATACCCTGTAAACTGGTAGAAATGATGAAAAACGGACAACACGGTACCAAGGATCAGAGCGAAGAAGCCGGCAGCAGTACGCCGGCTGCCTCCGCGCGTAGCCCGGAGAAAAGGAAAAGGGTTGTCCGGTTGTGGTGCGATGGATGGTGAGTCTGAGTGGTTTTGGTAACTGTTGGAAAGCTTGTCCTGTCATGGGCTAATCTGGAGGGAAAATAACAACCAGCTGGGCTGAAGAGAGCTATCAGCTGGCTAGCATGCTAACATTAGCATGCTACTTAGCAGTTAATGACAGAAGTAGAACAGTTTAATGGGACTGTTAATATTTTATTTATTTTATTTTCAGGAATAAACAAAGCAGTGTCACTTCTTAAACTCCTCCTTCTGCATATATTCTGGTCACCGAGATTAGTTATTTATTTTTATTTAACCAGGGAAAAACCTCTTTTTCCAGGAGTCCTGGCCAAGAGGCAGCAAAGATACATTAAATACAGATACAATAAAATAAATGACAGGTACATAAAAAATAAACAAAAAAATCTCAAGTAAAACAATTACAGATCGTGTAGTATTATCATCTGTCTGTCTGAACTGTATGATCACAGAGCTATTGATCAAAATATGATGGTATTAATGCTTAATAACAATAAACAATTCTAAAGAATAAGTAAAGGTGTCTTTTTCCAAAACAGCTGTTGTAGTATGATCAACAGGAGCCCCTTTGTTTTTGTGGCGATTTTGGAGTGTCTGCACTGTACAGCCTTAGAGCTATTGATTAAAATAAGATGACATTAATGCTTAATAATATCAACAACAAAAAAAGTTAAGGTGTATTATTCCAAACCAGCTGTTGTAGTATGATCACCAAGAGCCCCTTGATGTGTGTGGTGATTTTGGAGAGTCTGCACTGTATAACCACATAGCTATTGATCACAATAGGATGATATTAATGCTTAATAACAATAAAAAATTCTAAAAAATAAGTAAAGGTGTCTTTTTCAAAAACAGCTGTTCTAGTATTATCATCAGGAGTCACTTGGTCTGCGTGGTGATTTTGGATTGTCTGCACTGTACATTGTTAGAGCTATTGATTAAAATAGGATGATATTAATGGTTAATGATAACAAAAAAATTCTTTAAAAAAAAAAGTAAAGGTGTATTTTTCCAAACCAGCTGTTGTAGTGCGATCACCAAGAGCCCCTTGGTGTGTGTGGTGATTTTGGAGTCTCTGCACTTTATGGCAGTGGAGTTATTGATTTTTATTTGCAATGTTTTGCTGTTGTTTTACCATTTGCAGACGGTCCCTAACCACTCGTCTGGCCAAAGCCTGTGCATAGGGATCAATGTAATACATCCAGCTCAGAGAACGGCTTGTTTTTCTCGAAAATAACGCTTTTTGATTCTTTTAGTTCGTAGTCTGTGCTATCAGGACATGAAAGAAGCGGCATTTGTGTTTCAACAACGTTTCGTCGGAAGACCCAATCTGTGAATATCTTTCCAACTTTACCGAACTCAGATCATTGAAGCTGCTTCAAATTCTTTCACTTTCCACCTAAAATAATTTAAAGATAAAATATTTAAATGCTTTCATGTTATAATCTCACTGTCATCGTCCAAAGCATAAATGATCTGTTTCCCAGATAAACTGGCTGCAAATAACAGCTTATCCATCAGGTCTCTCTGATCAGTTATAATCTGATTTTTAGTCCTGTATTCAGCAGCTGCAAATCATGCCCTATTTTAATGGTATAGAGGTGGAAAGGTGCACATCTAAGCTCATTGCATCTTTGTATTTATAAAAACCTAATCAGGTAGAAGCTGTTTGGAGAGAAACTTTCAGACAAGTGTTACTGCCCTGTTCATTTCTGCATAATTTCTCAGCTGCAGGGCAGAAACTGACTTTGTTTTAGAAAGGTATCCATTACTGTCTGATGTGCTGAGCAAAGACTGTAGTGTTTTCTTTATATTCTGTTTTGCATTTCTATGTTGCAGCACTGACCAAAAAATCAGGCTATAATTTTCTAAAACAATTCCCTAAATTTCTAGATATTTTTTTTTTACAATTTTGAGATATTTACTGCTCTAATTGGGTTGCTCTATCAGTTGGAGGCATGTTTTATGGTTTCTATACTCCATTCAACTATCTTATCAATAATTTAATTAGTTGACAATTATTTCAATAATCGGCTAATCACCATTAATTGTTTCAGCCCTAATTATGACCCTTAATCATAACCCCCTGTCGGCACATAAAAAAAAAACAAAAACAAAGGAGTGAGCATCCGCCTCTAAAAACTAATTTTTCTTTAAAAGATTGAAATCAGGCTCAAAGAACCCTCATTGAGGTTTTAAGTCAATATTTGCAGGATATGCAAAGATATGACAGAAAGGTTCAGTTACAGAAAGACTTAAACTTCAACGATACAAAATGGTGAAGATGGGCAGGAGAACAGCACCAAGTCTATTTCCTAATTGTCGATTGTGCAACCAAGATAAATTGTAATTAGTCCAGCAAGCTCTGGCCTTCATGCACTAACAGAGAGCTTTAGTTAAAAAGATGCTTATTTGTTTTCCTTCAAAGCTGTGATGCTTTTAGTATTTCAGTTTAAATCACATCTACCCTGTTAAACTGACATCCTTTTATAATGGCCTAAAAACTCTTACTGATCATATTTACCTTTTTTATTTGGCCACCAACGTATCAGGTCTCCTGTTCAGTGCGGCGAAGCTTGAATCGCCTTAGTTACTGAGTGACCAGAATCAAATAAACACTGCCACATTGATAGCAGACAGGATGTTCACAGCCATTACCTCAGTCCCAGTAACCTTTATCACTTATCAGCACCAGTTTGGTTTGTAAAAAAACCAAAATAAAAAATCACAGACGAGATAATGAAGTAAAGCCGCACACAACGGGGGACCCATTTGGGAATGTTCTATCTTGTTAGGCTGATGCTGAATAGCTTTGTTTGGAGGACATTTTAAAGATAATAGTCGCCTAAAGAGAAGAAAACATGACAGCAGGGGTGCTGTTGTCTCAGCCTCCCACTGGCTGCTAGTTAGTTTTGATCTTTTGACCTGAGAGCTGCCCTCTTTAAGCTTTTTTTCATACTCATGATGTCTTGTTTCTATAGCTACGACATGGTGCACTACGGTCACTCTAACCAGCTGCGGCAGGCTAAGTCTATGGGCGATTACCTTATTGTCGGGGTGCACACGGACGGTAAGACAGGACAGTTTGAGACAATCTTCTAATGTGTTTCCATTGATAAATCCGATACCTATAATTCCATTTCCTGTAAATGCTGTTTAGATCATAAGATGCTGAAATATCAGTAACAAACAGCTGACTCAAAATGTTTGTTTTTAAAGCGGAGATTTCCAAACACAAGGGCCCTCCGGTTTTTACTCAGGAAGAGCGCTACAAGATGGTGCGTGCAATCAAGTGGGTGGACGAGATAGTGGAGGGGGCCCCTTATGTCACAACGCTGGAAACGCTGGATAAATACAACTGTGACTTCTGTGTACATGGAGGTGAGGCAGCTTAAGGAGTTTTTATTAACGCCTTTTTGTAGATTTTAGCTTCTTTGTTAATACTGAAGCTTTACACATTTTGTCACGTTTCAACCACAAACTTTACTGAATTGTATTAGTTAATGTGAGAGAGCAGCACAAAATAGGTAGGATCCCGCACCTCAACGATTTTTTTTTCTTACAGTTTAGAGAATATTTTATCAGATTAGATCTAATGGAAGAATGTTAAAGTTTGTGGTTGTGTCATAAAAATGGAAGAAGTTCATAGATGTAAAATGCCTTTTGAAAGGACTTCAGGTTATTGTATGGACGATGCTTTAAATGTTCATGTTTTCCAGATGACATCACGCTTACAGTGGACGGTAAGGACACGTATGCGGAGGTGAAGCAGGCTGGGCGATACAGAGAGTGTAAGCGCACCCAGGGGGTCTCCACCACCGACCTGGTGGGGCGGATGCTTCTAATGACCAAAGCCCACCACAGCAACATGGTAAGCTTACATTTCTGAGTTTAGCAGGCAAACCACTGTTTTCTATATTGTGGCTTTAATTCAGTATTCATCTTCCTGCAGGATAACACAGATTACCAGCAGCACACCGACAACTTTGGAAAGGTGAAAAAAAATGATTTTTCTCAATATAATTATGTGTGATTATCTGTATAGAATTAGTCTTTCCATATTGTTAACTCCTGCATATCCTGCTGCCTTCAGGGTGCTACAGCCCACAGCCCATGGACAGGGGTGTCTCAGTTCCTGCAAACATCCCAGAAGATCATCCAGTTTGCTTCAGCTAAAGAGCCTCAGCCTGGAGACACCATCATTTATGTGGCTGGAGCCTTTGATCTTTTCCGTATCCTTTATCATTAAAAAATAAGCCAGTTAATAAAGGTATTCATAAACTTTTACTTTAAACTCTGTTAGAAGGCAGCAGATGCACAGCTGCTCCTGGAAGAGGCCTTCAGAGCTCACAGTTCTCCCCCCATGTTGCTCGCCCACATTTAAACGAGGCATTATTGCATGCGGATGGGGGATGGTTTGTGGATATTTATGTTCACTGGATCCAAATCACAATTTAACAAACCAGATCTACACAATCATTACATCGAGTTAGAGAGCGTACCATCTGGTGAAAGCTGGTGGTAACTAAAAAATGTTTTTGAACAGATGAAAAAAGTCACCTGCTGCAATACCTTAAGAGATCTAACAGATAGTAGAGCTGTTTCTCTCTTCCAGAAAGGTTTTTTTGTTCAATTTTATGACTAATAGATGGAAGAACAAACTAAAACCTGAATGTAACTCATTTCAGGCTTTATAAGTGATTGTGATTTAATGTATTTTATAATATAGCACAGTTTGATAAAAAATAATATTTCCAATTTAAACACATTATTATTGGAAGATTTAGGAAATAATACCTTTTAATGATGAACTGCTTTTTCTGCTTTGCGTTTTACAAAAACTTGATTGTTCTACATATTGTGTTCCAGTTTCATTCCAAATTTGACCTCTAAATCATCCATCTATACTGGTGGAAAGTTAGATATTTCTTCTTCCAGTAACATGTTGATCATTTGCTTCCATCCGTTGGTCTCCACCTGCTTATTCTGCACGTATAGGACTGCTTTACAAGTTCCCTTCTGGTTGCTCCCTTGACCTCAGTCCTCCTGCAGACATCGGCCACGTTGACTTTCTGGAGATGGTTTATAAGCAGGCAGAGAGGGCATATGTTATTGTTGGTCTGCACTTTGATCAGGTACACTCAATCCCTCCTCCATCCCTTATCACTTCTTTTGGCAGATCAGGGACAAGTTACAGCAAGAGTAGCTCCAGATTATGTTTGGGTTTGGAGATATAGGCCGTCCAGGATTGTGACAGTTTTACTTTTACACTTCCTGTTAGCTCTGCTGGTATTCCCAGCTGCAGGTTGATATTAATATGTAACCCTTCAAGTTCTACTTCATCTTCTTCAGGAAGTGAATCGCTACAAGGGGAAAAACTACCCCATCATGAACATCCATGAGAGAACCCTGAGCGTCCTTGCCTGCCGGGTGAGCTCCCACTCAAACTCACTGACTCCTTAGCGCTGGTGACATATCTGCCTGTCGTGTTTCCAGTTCTGAGCATGAACTGGGCTCTCTTCCCTTCATTCCTGCTCGTCAGCCAAGAACAATTAGTCTTTGTTTGCAGTCTGCACTGTGTTTTAGTATCAGTAGTATGAACATTACACAGTTCCACTATAACACCATGAAGTGCTGTAGCTCTACTATCTGTTCTTATAAATGCTTTTCAACAAAGTAAAATGTTTTTTTACTAACATTTGAGGAATTATCTGGTTTGAGCTTTGCTTTGTAATTTAAGACGTTTGGTTTTTTTTTGTGTATAGTATGTGTCTGAGGTGGTGATCGGTGCTCCTTATGCTGTCGGCAAGGACCTGCTGGACCATTTTAAGGTGGGTTTCTCCTAAAATGTTTACTAAGACCTACTTTATCTGTTCAGATAGAGAGAATTTCAGCAGCCTGACTGGGGCAGAAGTAGCCTGACGTAGTCCGACTCAATTCTAGTCAGAATATGAGTCTGATACTGCTCCATAGAGCTGTGATTATGGGGCGTGTTTCGAACGAACCAGGAAAAAAAATGCCTCTGCACTCAATTGGATAGATCTACAACCAATAAGAGCAACGGAGTGCGTGACGTATGTTAAGCGAGGCATAGTTGTTGTCCACAAAAATCAAAGCGTGCAGTTTCGCGTTTCTCTGTTCCTCTTTTAAAATTAATTTGCTGTCTATATCTTCTAGAACAGACCTAATAGCAGAATCTACTCACCCAAACTCTCCAGCGGCAGCCATTATTGTTGTCACCCTAGCGCGCTTTGGTCACGTGGTTGATTACGTTACTGTTGATCATCTGTCCATCATCGTATAAAGTCCGCCCTGACAATTTGATTGGATCGCCTGACAGTGGGCTTTGATACTCGCGCTACTATGGAGCAGAGCCAGACCGAACTTCCCCGAACTCAAACCTTGTGGGCGGGACTAAGTTCTGACTGGCACCCAGGCTAGGGCAGAAGGGGGCAATAGGAGCCTCTAGATGTCAATACTGTATATTTACTTCTATTGGAAAGGTTGTATTAAAGAAAAAGTTATTTAAAGACACGGCTCCCTCATCACTGAATGATTTGTAGACAGCAAGTCTATCACAGGCTTGTTGTCAGTGTTATAACCACTCAGAGCTCTCAGGTCTTCTGGCTCAAGTCTCCTTTGCATTTTCAGAACCAAATATGGAGAGGCAGCTTTTAGTTTTTATGCTCCACTAATCTGGAATAAACTCCAAGAAAACTGAAAGTCCTGAAATCCTCAGTTATTATCTCCAACAAACGTTACTTGTTACTCTTGGCTTTGGTTTAATGCAGAGGTCACGGATTAGCGGACCGTGGTCCGGATCTGAATCCACCTACTGGCTAATCGGACTCAACCTGATTTAAAACATTTATAAATTACTTCATGTTGTCTGACAACAGTGTCTAAACGTCACTTGCGCCGCTTCTCCTGTTACCCTGAAATCCCACATCTTCCATCACCGCTTCGCCCCGCAGCGCTCCAGACCTCCTGCACAAAGCAAAGCCTACAGCCTCTGCTGTTCCTCCCGTATTGCTGCGCTCCGACATATCCTCGGAGCTCGAGGAGAGCATGCGCGATATTATCATTAAATTCGTAGGAGCAAAACATGCAGAAATTAACGCTTAATTTAATATGACATATTAAAAAAATCTCCATCAGCATCCGCACAAATGCTGGATGCTGATGGAGATGACAAATCTGCTTCCTGGTCTGTTGAAGTACCAATAGTTTACATCCAATTTTTAAATAAACAGTGTTAGATTTTTAAATATATAAGAATTATGCTCTAATTTGTAGTTGTTACTGATCTGTTTTTTTTCTATATCTTAATTTGTCAAAGCGGATTTTCTCACCGTATTTTTTCCTGTTTGGTGCGATTGCAATAGCGGATCTTGACCTGGCCGGACCGGAGTGGAGCCTGAACATGTAGAGTATGTTTAGCTCAACTTGCTGCTGTGAAGCAGGATTCTCCACCATGAATATTATCAAAAATAAATATGGATCCAAGTTAAAAATTAGCACCTTGATATGTAATTGAGAATGGCTTTGTCCCCATTCAAACCCAGGTTTGAAGCCTTTATTTCAGTGTTAAATTCTGTTTAAAGTAACAGATAATTAAAAATGTCTCCAGACCTTTACTGGTTGATGACTTTCTTTATTCGGACCCCGCTGATTTTTAATTGGTTACCCCTGGTTTAATGTTTATAAATATTTATTTTAGGTCATGTTCGCCATCCAATGCAGATCATAGGCGCCATCCACATCTAGTGAAAACTAGTGGAAGTGGATGAGTCATATAACGCAAACACTCATTGGTTAGCTAAAGGAAAGCATTAGAAGCAAGCAGGTTTTCTTCAAACTGCAAATGTGAATTATCTATGCCATGCTACAATGTCTGATTCAGAAAAAGATGTTGAAATGTCTGAAAGGTTGGACACAGGTGAGAACGTATCGGGAGATGGAGACCAACAAGACCTCCCTTATCCTTGGCCCTATCTCAAAGAAATAGACGTAAAAATGAGCTTTCAATTCATATAGTGGCATCTGACTGTTATTTTTAGAGGTTTCTTTATAATTTTACAATTAAAGTAGTTTTTGGAGCACATAGTTTTTCACTTTTCCTAGAGTAAAGAGGTCAAGTTAATGCTTTAACTTTTACCAGAGTGTTTTTAAACTGCAGTATCTATACTTCTACTTAAGTAACAAATGTGTGAACTTTTGACACCCACATGTACCTGTTCAAACAATTAAACACACAATTATAGACACCATAGGCTGTCAGACTGTTACTGCTGTCTATGAGGGAAGACCTCCTGGCTTTTGCTAATTAGAGAACGCTAATTAGAGAACTCTAAAGTGGAGTCATCACCCTAAAATACACCTTAGGGTTTCCATTTTACACATTTCCTGGAGTCAAATGAACATAAATCTAGCTGGCACGAGGACACCTTCTTAACTATGAAGTACGGTGGTGGCAGCATGATGGCGTTTCCTCTTATGAGGATAGATTCTTATGTGGAAAATATTGCAGGTTCATATTGCAGAACTCAGGTTAATCAAATACTAAGAAAAGATACCTTCTGAGAGGAAAAGTGTTTTATAATTTATCTCAGTATTTTATTTATTTAGAAAAGAGCAATACAATGTATCTAAAACAGGATATAGTCCTGTTGAATATCAGTGAGAAATAGAGATATGTTTCTTTTTGTACTGAGTATGTAACTATATAAGTGGTACAAAGCCTCCTACCCTGGGTTTGTTGAGTAACCCCGGTTCTGTCACTCTATAGGTGGATTTAGTGTGTCACGGTAAAACTGAGGTGCTTCCTGATAAGGACGGGGTGGACCCATACGCTGTGAGTACACAAATACTACCTATTAAAAATGGCTACATTAATCTGAAAAGATAAAAGCTCTGAGATGTAAATATGTACAACCTTCATATCAATAAGCCAAAGCCTGTTAGCCTGTTTGGTGCTACAAGATTGAGTTCACTCAGTGTATGACTCTTTCTGGCTTTTGATGCAATAATTTGTCTGTATTCCTCAGGAACCCAAGAGGAGGGGGATTTTTAGAACCATTGACAGTGGGAACAATCTCACCACTGATGACATCGTCCAAAGGATCATTGCAAACAGGTGACAAGCCCTAAAAACATTAAAGCTCCAGCCATGAATTCAGTTTAATCCCTTTATATGTTTTTTTCCCTTTAAATACTCTTTTTGGTTTTTAGGCTCCAGTTTGAAGCCAGGAACCAGAAAAAGGAGGCTAAAGAGATGGCTGTGATCGAAGCGATGAAGAGGAGGGAACACCAGCAGCAGGAGGGGCAGCAGGATGAAGCTGCAGCTCATTAATGCGCCCTGGACAGCTTTTAATCTGGTTCATTCATCCAGTCACACTCAGCTTAAAAAAAAAAGGTTGACCCAGCAGAGCCAGACTGAAAGTCCTGGGCCAAATCTGGCCCATCTATGTGTGTACAGATCCAAAACCTGCTCTGATCCTTTGTTTCCTCCCTGTTCGGTTAAGCTTTTCAGATTTCAGTCACACTACATGTAAAATGATGTTGAGTCTGGGATTTTATTCATAACTTATTGTCAGACTTTATTACATAAATGAGTTTTAATGATGTGTCATCAGTAATGCTAAATGCGCTGTAATTTAACTATTTCAATTTCTAGTTTTAACCATGTTTTTTGTCCTCATTGTGTAAAATTTGCTTCCATCCATCCATTTTCAGTCACGCTTTACCCCAAGCGGGGTCGAGAAAGGTGCTGGTGCCTATCTCCAGCTGTCAACAGGCGAGAGGCGGGGTACACCCTGATCAGTCCATCACAGGGCATTAGAGAAGCCAGTTAACCTAACAGTCATGTTTATGGACTGCGCGAGGAAGCCGGAGTACCCAGAGGAACTTACGCATGCTCAGGGAGAACATGCAAACTCCATGCAGAAAGAACCGGGGCGGTAAATGAACCCGGAACCTTCTTGCTGCAAGGCAGCAGTGCTACCCACTGAGCACCCGGTAAAAAATGCATAACTGATAAATGAATCTGTGAAATGCTTTGTAGATTTTATCTGTGGATTTTTAACCACCTGAATTTGCATCTGAGTGTGAATGTGTAACGGTGTGAGTGTGTGCAGAAAGAAGCGAGTACTTGAGTGTTTTTAAAAAGATGTAGTGCCTCAATCCTAAAGCTGTATTTATTCTAGTGACTGTTAGTCTGAGCGCTTCTCTGTCTGCAGCTGTCTTGACTAAAATTTTTATTTTTATGAGACAATCTTAGAAAAAGAAAGGATTCTAATTTTTGGACCTTGGAAGGGGAAGGGATTTCTCTTAATAATGATCCTTCTAGGTAAAGTGAAGATATTTTTAAATTGCGGTGCTTCTCTCAGCCTTTTAGTGTCTTTTTTTTCAGTTTCATTTTGTGAAATAAAAGGGTAATCTAAAACAATGAGGAGTGTAATGTGTGAGTTCATCCAGGTGGAGGTTTGTGTGATCAGCACATATTCCCGGTTCACTGAGGCGGATAAATTAGGGCAATGTTCGCTTCCTAAACAACTAAAGCCGACCCAGACTCAGCACCCCCACAGCTGAAAACCAGCAAATCATCATGTCTATAAAAAGATGTCCAGAGCATTTTGTATCTAGCAAACCTTTATTTTGGGCCTTAACTTATAAAAGGTGCCATAATTTTACATGCAGATCTAAAGTTGTCAATTAATTGTATAATAAAGATGTGTTTTTATACACTTGTTACTTTCCATAAAGTTCATCTAGACCTGAATTATTTTGTCTGAGGAATGTAGGTGTAACAATTCATGGAGAGTCTAATCCACACCTACATTGTGAGGCAATTAACACTAAATCTGCTGTGTATATAATATATAGCTATGTATAGTATATTGTATTCAACTATAGATCCTGTATTCTGTATATATACATATGTATATATATCTTGTCTGCACCAAGTCAAATTCCTTTTAAGTGCAAAACCACTTGGTAATAAATTTGATTCTGATTCAGCATGGCCACCATGTTTTGAGTGGCATCTTTTGGTAAACCACTATAGAGAGTTGTGCAGGACAGCTCTGTTGGGAGGAGTTCAGGTCCAGCTCTGATGCCCAGGGGTTCGTCTGTTATCCTCTAGAGCAGGCCTGCCCAAAGTCAGCTCTCCTGCAGGTTTTAGAGGTTTCCCTGCTGCAGCAGTCGATTTCCGTATATAGCTGATTGAACAGACTTTTCCAGAACTTAAATCATCAGCTGAGTTAGAGGCAATAGCAGTGTGATTTATCTGTTCAACATCAGACTGCAAATAAAGAAATGAGGCCTGTCTTTAGAAACATAATATTTATGGGGTTTTTTTTCAGTTGTGCTGCCATAGGTGGTTTTGGAGAGGGGTAATGAGAGACTGAAAAAACACACTGCAAATTGAAATGTACATGTTATTTTTCTTCAAATAGGTGTATATTCTCTTGGTTTAAGCAGATAGAAAATTTAGCAGTGGAATAAAATGATTTACATTTAAAAGTGGGTAAAACACCTCTATTAACCTATTTCAAATTTCTTATATCTAATTATCTTATTTCTAAGAGCAAAAATACGTATTCCTTGGGCAGATCATAATTAGCTGCTAAAATTAAGCCTATTTAGGCCTATTTTAAAGAAAATTTTGCAGTTTTTATATAATTTTTTTGTGGCATAATGCTAAAGTAATTTCTCACGATGACGTACTGACAGAAGAGTCCATGACTGATTCATCCCTTGGACCAATTTAACATTCTCCTTTTATAATTTACTTAAACTATTATTTTCAATCTGCAGATAGCTTTCATCTTTAGTCGTACTAAGAGAGAATCACAGTTTTCCTCTGTTAGATCAGAAGTCTGAAACTTTGGCTTTGTGGCTGAATTATTGTTATAAATGATGGCTTCTTGTCCTAATTGTTTGTTTTTATTATTATAATTTGTTTATTGTTTGTTTTTAATCTTTTTTTTTTTTCTGCGGCCCCACCCTGGTAGACTTGCCACTGTGTGCCGTACTGGAACCACAAAAACAACAAAGCAGCACATCAGTAAATTAGTATTTACCCCCCTTTTTGGGGGGTAAATACTCATTTAAAAAACCTCATCCATATTTAAAAATACAGCGCAGGAGATATAGTCCAAGATGAAACTCTTTTAGGTTTGTGGTTTTAATACCATTAAATGTAAACAGGTAGGCATGCTGCAGTTGCCGTGGCACAGATTTTGGGGTTTGTGGGTGTTTTTCTGCTGTGATCCACTTTAGTTGTTCTCTGGGTTTATTTAAATCTTTTGGTGGTTTATTTTCTCTGCAAATATTTCCTTTCTCTCCTATTGGTTGGTTTTGTTTTGCCAGTCTAATGATTGACTCCTAAGGCAAGGACGCCTGCTTTTAACAACTCTTGCAACTCATAGTAAGTAAAGGAGTAAAAAAAAAAATCACAACTGGGAATCAGTTTTGAACCTTTAATATTTGTTTTTTTAATAATGCAGTTTAAAGAAATGAAACCAGTTGTGCAAATATTTGCTGGTTCATTATAAGGTGTTATTGTTAAATAAAAATTCTAAATAGGTTATTTACTTTGTTTTGTACTATAATGACATAGATTCAATTGTGTATTCTAAACCACCAACCTACCATCTACTGAAAATGCTGCAGAATTGAGGGTTCTGATACTTTTTATGTATTTTTACACCATATAGTGTTCAGGAACAGTTCCAGCTGTGTGCATTTCTTCACCAGGAGACCTGCTCCTTAAAACTACTGTCATCTACATACATCAAGTTTTAAAGCTGCACACATCTCAGCACCGTTTTGAGTTACAAACCTGCTTTGGCAGGATTTCTCTGCCTCAGTGAACTGAACAAAATCTGACATCTGTATCATCAGCTTGGGAATCACTTTGTTACCCGATCACAAGCTTGATCCTCTGCTCTGAGAAATATTCAGATGTGGAGCATACAGGTGTGTGGTGACAGCATTTTTTAATGACATGTGTTGTGAATTGGCGCTATATAAATAAAGTGAATTAAACTGAATTGAAATTGACCATGCTAAGAAGGGACGTCAAATGGAAAATAAACTGATTTTAATCTTTGTAGGTGGGTGCCTAAGTAAGTTCACCCTGAGGTCAGACCAATTCATTCTCCATCTGAAGTATTTCTAAAGACTGATACAATCTGTGATTTGTCAGCATTTATGAATAAGTATGACTTCTTTTGAAAGGATGCCAGAAAAAAAAAAAAAAAATTCTCTGACAGTTCTGACAATAGCAGGCGATTTAGCACTTTTGATAGAGTGTACCTTAAATAAAATCTAACAGAACAGATCAGCACAGACAGGGCTTGGTTATTTAGGGCTATCATTAGTATTTTATCCACTAGTTTTATGCACCAAACTATGGGAATGAACAGAACTACTGAGTCACTTGGGGATTTTTCCCCTAAAATATTTCTCCCTTTTTTTTCTTTTGGTGCCAGTTTTATAATTTTAAAGAAAGTTCTAACAACAAATCATTACGATGAATCTATTATTTGTAATAACAAAAAAGCTGTAATCAAACAACAAAAACTCTCACACACATGACAATGAACTCCTTTCTTTTTCCAGAATAAATTCATTTACCGGTACAATAAGTTGAATTTCTTTTTTCAAACCTATAACTTTATGTATTTGTAAAGCGAGGAACCAGGGGTTTGGACTGAACCTTAACAATCTAGCTTTATAAATTCTGGTGTCAGGCTGTGCAACTGCTGTTTCTGCTTGCTTTAATTATGGGCCAAATCCATCAAAGATGTAGAGACGACTAAAATGATGTTCTCTCATGGTCTGGGACTTGGACTTGATCTGACTGCATGCAAAGCGCACTTTACATGTGACTCAAACAAAACAAAAAAATTACCTGCAGGTCATGAATAAATATATACATATTGAGAGAAATAAAAAAAACTGTGTTTTGGGTCCTTTGTATGTGTATTTAGTTCAGGTTAAATTAAACTTGATGTCTTAAAATCCAAAACGAATGAGCTACACAATCAAATCAATAATTTTATTTCGTTTACAGTGAGAGTCGTTAGTTTGAGTGAACAGTTACATGTTACACTTTTTTCAGTGTAAGGTGTAGGCATGAAAATACAGGCTAAAGAAGACCAGTAAACCCAGACATGAGCAAAGGAAAACTGGGAGCTGAAGGCAAGGCGTGGGAGTGAGACAAACTGAAACTGAGATCAAAGTTGGTGTTGGAGCTATTTATTCTTTATTTCTTTATCCATTTGAATTGTGTTAATTCCTAAACTTATATATTTTTTGTATTATTTACAGACTTAATTTATAGGTTAATTGTTGCATTTTTTGTGCATCTATTTTTTGTTGTTTTATTATTTTTCTTTATTTTATGTAAAACAGGAAGAAATGTGGGCGGTCCACTTTCTATAATTGTAGGAGCCTGGTAAGGACCAGCAGGCATTTGGGTTAGGGGCCTATGGGTTTTTACCAGTGCAAGAGAGGTAACAGGGCAAGGAAAGTTTGAACTCTGTAATGTGACAAAATAAAGGAAATAAATCAACTGAACATCTACAAGTTTGGACTTCCACTTCTTTTGCCTGCGTCAAGAAAACGTGACCCCAGTGCCTATAGTGGCTTATTGGAATTTTATTGGATGTTTGGTTTGACAAAAAATTGCCACTACAGTTGGATAAGATTAACAACAGGAGATGGTAAGGTTCATTTTCCGTCATGTGAGACGTGGGTGAGGTCATCAAGCAGATGACGGTTAAAGCAGCACAGTTCTTGGACATATTTGCTCAACAGAGTAAAAATCATTTAGATGTTTCATCATCATAAAGCAGCAGCATACATGCGTTGAAAACTGATACGAGCTACAAAATTAAGTTAAAATAGTATTCAGGTGAGATCCACGGACCCCACGTCACTTCCCAGGGAGGTCCCGGAGGTTCCCATCTGGGGAGCGGACTGCAGTGGGAGTGGGAGTGTTTTTTGGGAGGTCGAGCTGAAGGTTGTCCCTGAGTTGTGGATCTGTGTAAGAGGATCGCTGAAAGTTGGATTTGAGCGGCGGAGGAAGCGCTCCATGCGTAAAAGCTGCTTCGCCTGAAGGCGCGGCGAACAGCAGCTCCCTGGGAGTGTGAAGCCATCCAGGATGGCCTGAAGCTTTCTCTTTTTAAAACTTCAATCAGGGTTTTTTTGTTGTTGTTCCGCTTGTTTTGGGAGTGTGCGCATCTCTAAGTTTTCCTCTCTGTCCGGATCGGAGGGGAGATGATCGCTCAGGATGGGACTGTGCCTCGGTACCGAAGATACAGAGGAGAGGAAGGCGCGGATCCACAGCGCAAAGATAGACAGAGACCTTTACGAGCATGCAAAGCGGGAGATGAACGTGGTTAAGATCCTCATACTAGGTGAGACCAACATTCAGATCAAAACACAGAAGTTAAAGCTGTGTTTTCAACTGTGGTTGACCTCCTTCCAGGAGCAGCAGAGAGTGGAAAAAGCACTTTGGTCAAACAGATGAAGATCATCCACAGTAATGGCTTCACCAAGCAGGAGCTGAACAGCTTCAAGGTGGGAACTTATCACACTCATTTGCACACAGTGGAGGGACTCTACTCCCACATTATGGGGGCCTGTTTTGCAATGGATTAATAAGGCAGAAAGCTACTAATAGATCCAGGCGTAAAAACACCCCTTAAGTCCAGCAGAGAAGCAATATTTACTGAAATTTTAATATTAGATCACAGTTTTTCCATGTTCATCCTCAAACACAGCTGGAAGTCAAATTGCTTTTTCACAAGTTGTGATGATGTGAAAACTATAACTATCTAGTAAAATAAATACTGATTAGGTCACAGATTGCTATAGATGTCTCATCCAGAAAACATTGGATCCTCCATCTCTGGGATGACCAAGAGCTGCTGTGCTTCATGTTTTAGACGTTTCACCTTCACCAAACCTAAATGGATATGAATGGTTTATTATAGTGGTTCATCATGTCAGAGTTGTGTTTCTGAATTGGAACTGGGTTCTTTTAAATGCAGAGCGGCAGACGTTTATTTACTCATGAGGTGATCTATTTTACCTTACTTTTGTTTTAATTAATTAATTACTCTTTTTTAACATTGCCAAAAGTCTCCCATGTATCTGAATTGTACCTATTAATTGTGTCACAGCTCTGGTTCTGTTATGTTTTCTTCTGAGTATTAAGTTTTACTTTGCTCCATGTTTTCTAGTTTTAGGGGTTTAATTCTTATTTTGCTATGTTTTCTGGTTATTTTTCAGTTTTCAGATTTTTATTTGTTGCCCTCTGCTGCCCTCTTGTGTTCTCCTTTTTCCCTAGCTCCTTTCCTGTTCTGCTCTGTTCACACCTGCTCCCAATCTGCTCGTTAGTCCTCTCTTTGTTTCAGTCTGCCATAAATACTCTCTCTGTGCAGTTCTTCAGTGCTGGTTCCTTGTCTAACTTCCTCCAACTCCATCTCTCTGAGTCTTCCTCCTCGTGATAGTTTCCCCCCTGATTGGACTAAATCAGAAGGCTAGGATAGCTGTGTGTGTATTATATGTTTTGTTTCTACTCTGCTTTATTCAGCAGATATTTTCTCAGTATCTAGAGGGTATCTGTAATATCTCTGAGAAACTGTATTTCCTATAAAAAGCCTACTTGAGGCCATCCTTTGCCATATGCAATCTATGCAGAAATTAAGCCCCCACCCCCACCCCCTCACCCCCACCCCGTTTTGAGATTCATCTGATCTATTGTGTGATAGTCAATCATGAGAAAGTATTTATAGACAGGAAAGATTATCTCGATTGATAGAGTGACTACATGTAGTTTTGCCTTGGACTTGCAAGGTGTTGTTGCAAGGTGCTCCTTCCTCCTGCGTCCCACAGCAGTCCCTCATCAGTCTTTCAGCCAGACAATAATTACTCTGAGCGTCCTTAAAATCATGCAATCCAATTAGTTATCTATACAGTAAAGTTGTCTTGGTTCTGTTTAGACATTTCAGACATCTTCTAGTTTGAAATGCTGACAATATGACTTTTAACCAAATTTTACACATATTGCATGGATTTATTATGCAGGTATATTAGATACAATTAAGTAGGGGCAAAGATATACAATGTAAGTTTTTCCTAAAAATGTCTTTATAAAAGCATTTTTATTTGAGCCGCTATGATTAAAGCATTGTTTCATTAGTTCAGTACTCGTTTCCTTAATTTACTTCGGGTCAGAAGTTCTCGCTTTGTTTGGCGGATGTGATGTCAAGTGTGGCCATGCTAGATGGGTCCAACCTATCAAACAATCAAAGCGTTATATTCAAGATGGATTTTGTGGAATCTCCGAAGTGACCAGCATCCAGCTCAACTCGGACACCGATACCAACTTCAGGTTAGGTGAAAACAAAAACTAAAACAAACAAAAAAAAAACATGTCAGGTAGAGTGCAAGCTATATAAAATGAGATGAAGCGTGCTGCAGTTCTGTGTTATTGCCACAGGTGGCAGTGTCATTAGAAAACTCCATAATGCGTATTTAACAAGAGGAAAGCATGAGTTCCTTTTTTTTTTTTTTCATATCTCCCTTTTTTTGTTGAATCTGTGTCTTAACATGTCGGTGGTTTCCCCTTTTCCTCTTCTAAAATTACCAAAACCTTTCAGTGGATGTTCTGAATGTTTTGATATATATATTTTTTTGCCAGATCTGCATAAATCCAACAGTTCAGAATGAACATTGTATTTCTTTCGTAATTCAGTTTTTAAAACTTCCTCATTCATAATATTTCTTAAATATAGAAAAACACTTGGTCAGCAAAAACATATTTATCCTGCAAAACCATTTTAGGAGAGCTGCCAAAAGTTGTTTAATCATTGCACAAGCAGCTGACTTTACTAAATCTGCATGGAAGAACTAAACATTGGATGCTGTCATATAATCATAAAAGTCAATCAGTCAGTGTTTGCCGCTCAATGTTTTTTTTACCAAGCAGCTCTGCTAAAAAAAACTATATTTAAAATCTGTTTTCTTTCCTCAATGATACAAACTGGCTGATGCAATTTTGAATCTGTCACAC